ATACTGTGGCCTAATTCTTAAAATGCAAAAGAGCAGTAAAGAAATGTAGTATCTGTTCTGTATAGTGCACTGTTTCAAGAAATAATAAATTAAAAACCATTCTTCTCTTAACATACATGCCTGTACAAGTAAAGACAGAACAGTCTAATGCTTTCTGACAATGGATAACTATGGCCCATGGCCTCTTGTCATCACATTTATATCTTTTAACATTCAGCATATTTGTGAACTAAGAAAAACATTTAAAGGATGAACTGTAACATGAGAAGATCCTCAGTGTTACACATAGACCAATCCCATCTTCGCTATTTGCTTACATTAGTTGAATTTCACTTGCTCATGGTCACAACTGCTATGGAGAGAGCATTCCGAGTTGCTATATTTCAAAATGTAATGTCTTGTTCTCTCTTGGCTTCAACTCTGAAATTTAAGTGGCAAATTTTTAATAAATCACAGAAAAATGAAACCATGGATTCTAAATGTGTAGATTGAGGGCACAACACTTGCTGATATTTCTTCCCGAATAGAAATAACTTTATTATCTGCAAAGCAAGAGTGCATACAAGAGATGATATCCATGACAGTATATTAAAAATACTTTTAACACTTTAAAAAATACTGTTGGCTAAAGACAGTAATTAAAAAAAAAATAAATACTAAGGGATGTCCTCTAAACCACAGTCTAATATTAATAGCCACAGTATCACTTTGTATGAAAACACACCCATGTATCAAATGTTACACAATGGCACTGTCTGAAAATGATATAAAAGGCAACTGATTGTGTCTTGTGATTTTATTTCACCCTCTATTTAATAAAGTTATCAGATTAAGAATCATCATGTTAACAAACAAAATTCTCATTTACACAATGTTGTTGACATCATGAAATCTGCTTTACTAAAGTTTAACACTGACCTAGATTAAGACACCATTGTGAGACCTTTTATAGAAAAGTACAAACTAAACTCTGAGTGTTACAGCTCCAATTCTGTGGAAAACTGTGAAAATTCATACATTATATCAAATTTCTGAAGAACTATTATGCAGATTTTAATTGTAATTTGGTATGAATATACATCTATAACAGAGAAAGATATGTATCATTCAAAAGTCATTTTATATACACATGAGTATCAGTAAAGTTCATATCCCAAGGATGTCCAAAATCCACCTTGTGATATAAAACTGAAACTGAATCTAATATGGAATATGGTCCTTTCTCAGTGCCAGACAGATCACACAGTGTGACAGCAAACTGGACAGGAGGCACTTGAGGAGTCCCAATGGCACACGATTCTGTTGCTGCAGCAACACAGTTTTAAACTTTGGGATGGTTCTCAGAGGGGGATGGCGAGAAAAAACTGCCTTCTTACATGCTAGACATGCTGATACAGGGCTTCCTAAGTGCTAGATATGCTGATACAGGGTACGTCCTAGACATGTTGTATATAGGGTTAAGATCAGATCTGACTGGCAAAACCATGCAGCATATATCATCACATTCAAGGCAATTGCCAACCCGCCGAGACCTAAATGGACAAATGTTGTCTTCCATTAACAGGAACTCAGAACCAACTGCACAACAGAAAAGTCAAACATATGGCTCTAAGATTTACTCTTTATACCTCAAAAGCAGTCAGGGTGCTTTTGTCAAATATATGCAGAGGTGTTCGGCTATCCAATGTAATGCCTGCCCAAAGCATTACATCTCCACTGCTGTAATGATCCTTTTCCCAGATTAGGAAGGGATGGTATATTCCAGACTATACAGATACAGATACAGATACACTGAAAATCAGTATCTATGAGGAATCTATACTCATCTGTAAAATGCACGATGCTCCACTGAAGTGTAGTCTAAGGCACATGCTGCTAAACACACTCTCTTATGGGCTACAGTGAGGGATCTTTTAGCATACAGCCCTATCTCGTGAAGCCATCGGGTTCCAGTGGTAGTATACAGCTCATGTGAGAGTTGTGAAGTTGTAGCAGTCCTATGTGGCCATGATGAAAGTGCCAAATAATGATCCTCATTTGTCATTGTGGATCTTGGTTGACATTCTCCAAGTTTTCTCAATATGGATCCTGCAATATGAAACTGTTCTAAAAACTGCAGATGACACTGCACATTACACTGAGCTCTGTAACTGCCTGTGCTTGTGACTGGCCTGCCTCCAATCTACTGACAATTCTCCACCTCATTCTGTCATCTATACATCCATGGTTACTCATTTTACCTGCCACCTTAAAAAATTTACTTAACTCCTGCGAGAAACTTGGCGAACATAGTAAAGGAGTACAATCAGTGGAAATTCCTCATGCGCCAATACGTCCACAATCACAGCTCTGTAGAGATGCATGTGTATGCTTACATATTCGACTCTGAATATCTGCATAATTCTTTGGGTGCATAATTAGTACCTTTGGTTCAATACTTTTTGTGAAATCGTGCATAATTTTCAAATTCTCTTAATTTTACGTGGGTGTAATTAATGCCAGTATATGTGCCAAAAAAGAAAAACAGATAAATAAATACCGTAATTTCCGGAAGAAACGCTGTGGCGTTTACGTGTTTAAAACTTACATTTTTAGCAGGTGCAGCGTTTAGGTGCACTAAAAATAAAATATTTCCTTTGATAGTCACTGTGCATAGTTTGAATAATTTTGTCACTGTACATAGTTTGAATAACTTTGTCATTCTACATAGTTTGGATGGCCTTGTCATTGTACATAGACCACTCAGTTGTTCCCAGTTCAGTTGCTCCGCTGTTAGCTTTCGACTCTCCTGCAAACAGAACTGTTGATGAAACTGGTGCAAAAACTGTATCTGTGCTTACGACGGGGCATGAAGGAACATCATTTACATGTGTGTTAAATTGTGCCGCAAACGGTGACAAGCTAAAGCCGCTGATCATTTTTAAACGGAAAACTATTCCGAAGGGAGATTTTCCTAATGACATAATTATTTGTGCAAACGAGAACGGCTGGATGTGGGAAACAATCATGCATGAGTGGCTACAAAAAGTTTGGCAGTGTCGTAAGGGATCTTTTTTCCAACCAAAAGGGTTATTGATAATGGATTCCATGCATGCTCATTTACTTGAGTCAGTGAAAACTAGATGTCAAAAATTGTCTACGACCGTAGCAATAATTCCTGGTGGTTTGACAAAAATCTTACAACCATTAGATTTGTCAGATAATAAATCCTTCAAAGCTGAAGTCCGAAAGCGGTGGGAGTGTTGGATGAGTGAAGGATTGCATACATATATCAAAAGCGGTAAAATTCGTAGAGCATCTTATGAAGAAGTTGCAATATGGGTAGGAAGTGCATGGAAATCGGTAAAAACATTGTCAATAATAGCAGGATTCAAAGAAGCTGAAATTATATCTGTAGATAAAGAGACTGTTAAAAAAGAGGATGAATGTGACGATCTGGAAGACTTGGACTTAGATCAGGATTTACTAAATCTTTTTAATTCAGAAAGTGAAGAATCAGATTTTGATGGCTTCATATGATATATAGTTTGCTGTAATTCCTTTTGTAAGTAAAATTTAAAATTTCCTTTTGTAATCCAAATTTAATATTTCGTTGTTGCAACATTTTTTAATATAGTCTGAGTATTACAAATATGGACTTCTTTAGTGGGTAAATATAAGTATATTCGTGAATGTAAATATATTTTCAACATTTCTTACCTTTAATTTATTTTTGAGTTATGGTTTCATTTCATGCATTTCTCTTAACTGATATGTCATATATCAGGACATAGGTTGAGATTTTGCATCTATACGGCCCATGACGATGTCACGCACAATCTAATCTATTGCAGGCGTTTCTGTGTAATTTTAATTTTTCCCCCGCCATTTTTCTCAAGTGCAACGTTTACGCTGATGCGGCCTTTCTTCCAGAAATTATGGTAAATAAACAATTATCCAAAATGGGGCCCAGCATATATAAAGGAATTCTTTGAATATTTGAAAGGAACTATACACAAGTCTGTTAAAAAATTCCAAGTAGATAACCCATAATACAACCATACATTTCTCAAACAGTGCTTAATTCAGAAACAATTATAATATGTATAGACTTTTAGCATTCTTCCTGTAAAAATGTCTATTATATTATCCTCATTTGTCAGTCTAGTTGATATTACAGTTTTATCTGCCAAAAGAGAAGGATGCCTTCATGGAGCACTTACAAGGGAAAAGTCGCTCATACTCACATGGTTTTAGGTCAAAGTACTAGTGTTTAGCAGTTTAACCATTAGGCCACTAGTAAAGAGATGCCACTTTTGAGCTAAGCAACACCAACTCAGAGTGATGGGAGAGCTGACCACTACTCTTCTCCAAGAAAAGCATTTAATTCCAATTGTAAGATTCCAAATTAGTGAATAGTTCTCTTGATAAATTAGCAGCTCTTAATGTAGCAAAATGTCAGCCTGCACCACATTATTTTCTTATTTATTTATTTACAGCAAAAACAAACATGTCAAAGTGTCTGGATACTTTTTCTCATATAATATGCATTATGTATATTCAGAACCATAAATAAATTATTCTGCATTATTTAAACTTCTATGAAAAATAACTCAATGCACTTCTAATTAATATCACAAAAGTCAGCTTTCATATTATAACAATGAACTTGACCATTTCTTTCAAAATGATGTGTAACGTGTATATGAGCCAGTTTCCCTTAAAAAGTCCTCCATGAAGGCATCCCTCCCTTAAGGCAGATAGCCCTCGAGTGCTTTGCCGTAATCTAATATACCAAATACCAATCTTTCAAAATGTAGTCTTGTTCAGAATTAAGGTTTTCATGGAAAACTAAAAAACTGATTAAGAACATCTACAAGAAACACAAGATACATATACAGGTTTTACACCTAGTTACACCAGGTAAACTTAATATTTACAATAAATATTTTCATAATTACGAAATATTTTCGAAATAATGGAAGCATTATTGTTGAAAATAAAGCAGTAAGAAAACTTACATCATTGGTTTTGACAAGTTCCACACAAAAATTTTGAAGATCCTCATTCTGCAACAAAACCTGCAAATTCAATTTTACCAAACCTTATTCTCATAGTATTAAAAAATAGTAACTATAACACATAAATGGGATATAAATATCAGGCTAGACATAAACAAAATAAATAATATTTTGAAAAAATAACAGTTCCAATCACCAGCTCTCATTCAATAAAATACAGCTAAGCGAAGGGATAAATACTTTTAGCCCATATTTTGCTTAGCATTCTGGAACAGTATAAATAAGAAATACTAATTCCAAAAATTTCATGTACACTGGCGCCCCCCCCCAAAATGGGACATCTTTATATCTCCCATTCTACTGAACCGATTGACGAAATTCATATTGCATTCTTCATGTCTCGAAAGCAAGATTTAGGATATATATCAGATTTATATATAGCTCTATTCTAACATAGTTATTTTGACACAAAATCAGACTTTTCTGAAATAACATACCAATTTTTTTCCATATTTCGATTCTACAACTCAAATTATGTCCAAATATGAAATTTTGTAAAATTTGGTGCGAAATTTATGGAGAAATTCACAAATTTATGTTGCCACATTTTTTCAGTTTGCACGAAGGATTTGATAACTTGTGAACTTGGCCACTTGCAAAGCTTCTTACAAACTTCTTAATATATGAAAAATAATTTTTCTTTCCCATGAGTGGAAAAAAATCACAATGTTCTTTCTTTCAAATAATGTTCTTTATATTATATTTTTATGTTATTATTTTATTTTTTTTTCTTTTTTGAACTTCATTTTAATTGTTTAAGTTGCATGGTTTTTTTCAAATAACTGTTTTTTAAAAATTTCTATTTACCCATTCAAACTGCGTAGTTTTTAAATATAAACGTGCATTGTTTATTTTTTTCAAATAGTTTTCTTTATAATTTTTTTTGTCACAATTATTATTTTAGGTAATATTTAAATTTTTAGACTTTTATTTTTAATTGTTTGTGTTGCATTGTCACTTCAAATTTTCTGTTTATTTATTCGAACTGAGCATTTTAAATATATTTATTAACATAAATTTTCCAGGATTTTATTTTATTTATTTGAATTGCATTTCTTTCGGAAGAATATTTTGTCTCCCAGACTACGATGCATCTGAAAACTGAATATATTAGAAGAGAAAATACAGTAAAGGACAGTTAACACGACTTTCAATGTTCCATTCAGAAAAGATATATAAATGAGAAGGGTGTATAACTGATATTTTAACTTGGGATAAATGGCTTTAAATAGCTTCAACATTGAGCTCATTGCTTTATACAATTTTATCATCCTACATTTAGTTTCTTTAAATGCTATTAATATCTTAGTCAAATACTTTATTTTTGAAATTGCAAGAATCAAATATCATAAGATTAATATGTTTTAAATTTAAAAAAATTACTAAATTTTATGTAAAAATTTATTTTTTTCTTCTTAATGGCTTGCTCTTTTTCTTCAGGCATTCTGCAAGTATATTAAAAAGCATCCAACCTTTTGAAACATCTTGATATTTCTGACATTCATTTTAAATAAAGTTATCACCTTTCATTTCATAAAGGCCCACAAATGGCCGAGCGGTAAAGTCGCTGAATACTGGTAGTTCGCTCCGGGGTATGAATCCCGGCAAACAGGCTGGTTGCATGGGTGTTTTCGTGTTTTTTCTCATTGTAATGTGTATGCCAACTGGTTTCCCTTAGAAAGTTCTTCATGAAGGCATCCCTCCTTTTAGGGTAGATAGCCCTGCCTTGCCGTAACTTAACAATCCAATTCAGTCCATTTCATCAGTACTTGGTCTGAGCCTTTATCAGTCTTTAGAGGCTAAGCATTTTAAGGCATGAGATGAAAGCAAAGACTGGTTTCATCAAGAGGGAAAATGTCTTTAAGTGACATCCACATTCATCACTGGATAAATTCCTGAATATTTAAATAATTTGACTAAGAAATCTCCGTTTATGATGATATGATGTTCTATAACGTAATTTAAATTTATACAAACATATAGTCGAAAACCAGTCACTCTTCACTTTAATCTGCAATGATAACGTTTTTGTCTTTTCTGTTAGCACAAGCTCAATTGATGGTATTTGCTGGTGTACACGTCTAGTGTTTTCTCTTTGAACACCCAAATTCCTTGAAGTATTCTGAAAGTATATTCAAAAGCATCCAACTTTTCGAAACACCTTGGTATTTCTGACAGCCAAATTCCCCTTCAAATTTTTCCTTACTTTTCTCCCTAATTTTCTTCTTTCATTCTACATTTATTTTCAGTGCTCACCACAAGAAAATTAAGATTTTTCGATTGTTACACTTCAATAAATTTTGCATTCTTGTCATTTTTTTTTAAATATCAATTGCATTTCAGTTAAAGACAGCTTTTCATTTTCTAGGCATTTTAACTATAAATAAAGTTTAAAGCAAAGTCCAAAGGATAAATATTTTAATTAAAGGTTTTTTGTTAAATGACAAAGAAATAAAACAGTCCAGCAATGTTTACTCTGTACCACTGAGTGACCTGATTATTATATCGGCTACAAACAATCTAAATCATATTAAAGATTATGTTTTTATGACAATCTATGACATGAGATAAAATTAGCTACTTAAAACATTCTTTCAAAGAGGATTAATGTAAAAATTTATACTAATATATATAATTTTTAAAGCTGGGACATGACCCAAACTATCAATGTCCTGTTTGCTTAAAAACATTGTGAAAATAAACATCAAATTTTCTCAGTTTTAGACAATTCAGTTTAAATGCAGTCAAAGTAAAGTAGCAGACAATAACACGGCGAAGGTAAAAATTTACTCTTACAAATATTCTTTTTTTTTTAAAGGAAGAAAAAAAAAAGAAATTTTAAAAAAAGTTTACAAATTGAATAATATCATCTATAATTTAAAAAATAACTTTTCATATAGTATTAATAAATATTTATTATGCATCATTGAGGGAAAAAATTTCACATAATTCTCCCTAACAACTTATTTGAAATTTAAGGTTAAAAATAGCTGTGGCAATTCGCTAACAAAAATCCATAAACCACATTTGGCGTTATTATTGCTAAAAAAAAGATGCCAAATTTCAAAACGCGAAAATATGTAAACTCGTGTAGATCTTAGAAAATTTCGAATAGAAAAATTTTTTTGCAGGTATGCTTAGAACTACACCACCTACTTTAAGATGATGGTAATAATTTTATAGGTTATAATTCAAAACTTTTTCGAAAAATTTATAAAAATTATTTAAAAATAGAAATTTAAAAAATAAAACACAAAAAACAGTGAATTTTATCTGGAATGAACCTAAACTTTGAAATGTGAAATGAAAAAAATCAAAACAGTTTAATAAAAAGAGATATTAATCAATATATGCCAAATTCAATTAACATTGAGGAGCTAAAATTTTTAGAGCTAATTTTTTAAAAACTACTCGTACGATTTTTACAAAACGTGGCAGTCTGGCATAATTTGAGTCGTAGAATCGAAATATGTAAAACAATTGGTATGTTATTTCAGAAAAAGTCTGGTTTTGTGTCAAAATACCTATGTTACCTATGTTAGAATAGTGCTATATATAAATCTAATATATAACTTAAGTTGCACTTTCGAGACATCAAAAACACAATTTGAATTTTGTCAATTGGCCAAGTAGAACGGGAGATATAGAACTGTCCCTTTTTTTTTCGCAGTGTACCTTGAGTAGGCATTATAAACTATATTATACAGTCATTATTCTTACTTCAATCTGCTTAACTACTTAGCTATACATTTAATACACATATTTTCCTTTCAATTACGCAAAAGTTGGAAAATGAAGAACCCCCCCCCAAAAAAAAAGACAGGCTTGAAAAAATGCAGCATTTGACAAAAATCCTGAAATGAAAAACAGCTTTTAATTGCAATTAAGTGTAATTTTTTCCCTTACCTAAAATAACACACTGATGGCAAATAAAAAATGTAACACAATGAATGAAGCAATAAACTTGAAATTTGCACCATGTACAGACCTTGATATGACATGCAAATGTTTAGCATTATAGTACATATGCAATTTCATGTCTACCAGTAATGCCACCTGGAAGCATTTAATATGGTAAGCTATTTTAAATAATGGAATTTTGCATTTCCTACCATTCTTTTCTATGGGAAGCTTCAACATGCATTTTCCAAAAAGAAAAAAAAAAAAAAAAAAAAAAAAAAAAAAAAAGGAGGTGTAGTCATTCGAGCAAGTTCTTGAGTTTGACAGAGGAAGAAGTGTCGATTATTCTTCCGAGAAACTGATGCCTGAGTTGGATAAAATCAAGCCATAGTGATGTGAATGTATAGAAATAAAGGACTACAAATGCTTATTGAACAGTTTGATGATTATAGAATCGATATTGTAGCTATACAAGGAAGTTAGAGGGATAGGAGGATTAATTTAAAAGAAGAATCATACAATGAATTGTAGCTGAGATAAATAGAACCACATGTTTGGTACCGGTTTTATAGTGAGTAAGCTAGTTAGACCATTATTAATTGATTTTGTGACCAAGTCACCTACACTTTGTAAAATAAAGTCACCTACACCTTGTAAAATAAGAATAAAAGGATCCTTTTTAAATTGCAGTTTCATTAATTTTCATGGCCCAACAAAGGACAAACACTGCATGGAGAAGGAGCTTTTCTGTGATGATTTGCAAGCATTACGTTTCCTATACAGGAAATGATACAAAAATTTTATTGGACGATGCAAATGCAAAAATCGGTAAAGAGGATTTCAAATAAACTTAATTATAGATTAAATGTACTATAATCGGTAAATTTATAGACCTTTTAGAGTAAATTTACCTATAATCGGTAAAATTAGTCTCCACGATTTTTTAAACGACAATGGCAAGTGACTTGTTAATTTTGCGGCAGATCATAATATGAAAATAAGTTTTATGTTCTAACACAAAAAGATGCATAAAATGACATAAAGCTCTCCTGAGGGAGGCATTTCCAATTAAATAGATCATTTTTTTATTCAGTCAAGGTATATGTCAGATATACTAGACGTGAGAACATATCATGGCGCCAATCTGGATTCCGATCATTTTTGGTCATGGCAAAGGTTAGAGCACGAATTTCAAACTTTTACAAAATTCTTGGAGTATGTCTGGACAAATACACTTGTAATCAATCAGCTCAAATGCGAGACGAATAAGTTAAAATTGAAGAAACAGATAGAAAATAAACTTGAAAAGGTTAATGATTCATACCATAAAGAAAGTATTAACTCTAAATGGTGGGAAGTTATTATTGAAACAAGTAACCAAGTTGCGAAAAGGTTAAGAGAATGAAAAGGAAGGACTGGTTTGATAACGAATGTTTTTGACTTCAAAAAGAAAGAACAAAGCATATTGCAAAATTCTGAGCAAGGGGCATTCAAGGAATGCTGTGATTGCATATAAAGATGCTAGGAGAGAGGGGAAAAGGATTCACAGGATGAAAAAGAGGAATTTCTTCAAAGATCTTTTTAAAAATGATGAACATTTGAGGGGATCCAATGAAAGCAGAGCTTTCTTTCGAGAAATTAAACTCGGATGTACAGAATTCAAACCAAGAACCTTCTCATGTAGCAATAAGGAGAGAATTATTTTGAGAGATAGAATGGAGGTGCTGAAGAGATGGGATGAACATTTCCATGGCTTGCTGAAGTGATAATGGAGAGTATGAGGCTCTTACAGAAAGCTCACTAATCTACAGCCAAGAAGAGGTTCCTCGACCATCACTGAAGGAAGTTGTTGAAGAAATTAACAAGTTAAAAAATAATAAGGCCCCTGGTCTTGATGATATTCTGGCTGAGTTACTGTAAAATGGTGGAATAGAAGTTACTAAAAATTATATGGTTAATAATAGATGGGATCAGGAAATGATAGATGAGTTATGAAAATTGAGTATAACTTGTGTAATACACAAGATAGGAGATTCCAATATTTTGAACGTTCTAACAACAGAGGAATCAGCTTGCTTTGTACTTACTTCATATATGCCTTAAAACCAATAGAAGCATGTCCCACAAATACTCAATAATACAGAGTTGCAATTTTTATGACATATAATTACAAGAACTTGCTTGATCAGATTCAGGATTTAAAAGAGTGTCCACAGAATAAGGAGTAAAACAGAAGAATTTGACAACTTCAAAAGAACACCTTGACAGATTTTTCTAAAGCCAAACTTGACCTTAGTTTGAGGAACAATTCAGGCATGGAAAGTTTTGTAACTTCCACTGAACTCCATTTTTGTGTTCTTAAAAGATACTTTCTATAACTGTTAAGTTATAACTATATTTCTATAACTGTTAAGTGGGGGGGGGGTTTCTTCATATATAATGATCATCTAAGCTCAAAGACAAACAACTTACTTTCTAAAACAGAAATGGTGAGCATTCTTAAATTTAAGCATTATTATTATTTTCAACTGAAGCATTTTGGTGGTTTGATAACTTATGTATATCTGTGGAAAATGTATAGTAGAGATAATATAGAGCAAGTAGTGTAAATCAGTGTTCCTTAAGCTTTTTGGTGTACGGGTCCCATAATTTACAAAAATTTTGAGGCCCCCCCATAAGCATAGCGCAAATCTGGCACGCATGAGTGAAACTATCCATTTTTTCACTTGTACTGTAATATAGTACAGCAGTTTTAGGTCATTAACTTTAATTTTTAAAGTAAAATGAACGTTTTTATTATAAAAAAATGCATCAAAACGTTTTTGTTTTTTTCTTTGTCTGTATTTTCTTATCTTTATCTATTTTCAGATATATTACGTAAAAGTATTTGGTAATTGTAAAATTATTATAATAAGTTAAAGAAATATCAAAATTGCTAAAATTTTTGGTGAACTGACCTACTGCAGGTTCCGCGACACCAATTGGAGTAGTGACCCACAGTTTAAGAAACACTGGTATAAATGATATTATACTGTATGTATAAAAACTACAGTTATCATACACAGATATTTAAACAATAAACCATACGCTGTCAAACAAGCATATAACCAGCACAAACAGATTATACAGACACACAAAAATGATATATTCTGCAAACTTTCAAATGCAAAGTCAGCTAATAAAATAATTGATTAGACTTCATTTTAAGGTAAAATACTTCCAATATTTTTATTTAAGATGACAAAATTGCTGAAATGTATGATAATTCCTCAAGTAAACAAAAACATCATTAGGTGAAATAGGATGTTCAAGTGCTAGGGATGTGGAGGCATACCAGTCGAAGGTAACATATTAGGTCATCCAGAAAGTTCTGTGGGTTTTTTAAGATAAACACAAATGAAGCACTACAGCAACATAAGAAATATAACTAAATAACATAAGTGCCATTTTGTTCTATGACTTTTTGCCATTCCTCTGGTAGCTGGAAAATTTCTTTTTTGAGAAAATCAATAGGTCCTTCAAGAAGAAACTACCGAGGTGCTGTTTGACAGTTTCCAAAGAAGCGAACTACAGGTCAATCACAAAAATTTGAAGTGATCTGAACAGATGAAAATATAAAGAGGGCAATTTCTAGTGAATAAGGGGAGTGACAGAAAACATGCCAGTTGTAGTCAACAAGTGTTTGTCTGATATTCATCAAAATATGGGTCTTAGCACAGTCATGATAGATGACAATAGCTCCATGATTAGTGAGTTTAGGCACTTTGCTTCAATTTAATCTTTTAAAACTGTTTCTTGGAAACAGTTATTATCCAATTTGGTGGTAACAATTCACAACATACAATTATTTTGTAGTCCCATCATACACAAAACATTGCTTTTTTGGCATTTTAGTCTCCTCTCAAATGTTACTAAAACCATTTCCAAAAAGATGTTTATATCTTGACAGTAAAAGCTGAAATGATACGAATTCTGGCAAGTATATTCTGCTGTGTTAAAATAAGGAATGTCCATACCTCATTGACACTTGCATACTCAGGCTTCTTCAGATGACTGTATACTGTACTTTTTGGAATATTTAGTCTTTCTGATAGTTCCTGAACTGTACAATGTGGATTTTCAGCAAATGTTTCTATTAATAGGTCCTTGTTTACAAAGGATGGCTATGCAGAGCCTACACCATCTTTGGGGCTTAGATTTCGATGCTTAAACTTCTCAATCCACCTTCAGACTCTATCATCAGAAATAGCACTTTGTTCACATATAGCGCATATGTTATGAGCAGTCCGACTACCATTAGTTACTATGACTAAGTTAAAATTCCAGAAATAAATAGAAAATTAACTTGAAAAGGTTAATGATTCATATGATAAAGAAAGTATTAACTCTAAATGGCGCAAAGTTATTGAAACAAGTAACCTAGTTGCGGAAAAGGTTAAGAGAATGAAAAGGAAGGACTGGTTTGATAACAAATGTTTTTTGGCTTCAAAAAGAAAGAACAATGAACCTTTGCATTTCCCATTCTTAGCAATGCACAGAAACAAAGAGTATGACATAACATAGTAGAATACCCCAGTGCGAGCAGAAAAAAACTGTATTTAAAGATCACTTCAATCGAGGTCACACCTATCATCAGCAACAAGATAATTAGAAGAAAATGTGAAATTTAAAAAACTGCAGATCTTTTCATATGGTCCAATACATAAGAGATAAACAACAGCTTTTAACAATTATGATTATTAAAATAATTATCTCGGAAAGTTCAAAATTCCCACACAAAACAACTGAAAGTTTATTTATTAATAGTTAGTTTTCCATCTTAAAGTTGCTAAATTAGTTGTTGCTACAATTATTTAGCAAATTTCTTGAGAAAATCGGTAGCATGTAAGAAATATTCAAAAGAGAACATGGTACTGAAAAAATTATTATTGAAAAACTTTCGAACAATTCATACCATGCTTGAAGGCAGGTTTTTACTGAAAACAATATAAAGCAACAAAAATATATATGCATAAGGAAATAAATCTAAGAAATAAAAATATCTTTTTACCTTTTTGATCTCAGACTGAATATGTATTTCATCTTCTTTAATTAATTTAACTTTCTCCCTCAGGCTATTAACTGACATCATTAAGTCAAACTGCTTTTTTATGGCATTATCCATTTGGATATCAGCAAACGCCACCTTTTCAAGAACATAGAAATATGAATTAAAATATTAAAAAAAATTCAAGCTTCTCTTTATATTCATAATTAAATCTAGTTTTAAAATATTTAGAGCAAATAGGAAACCTAAAATTGTCTGGTTAAATGAAATTAATTTTCATAAACTTGAAGGAAAAAAAGAAGGGGAAACTTCAAAATGTGTATACCATATGCAAGTAAGTTATTTATTTGAGTATGGCAAAGCACACGAAGACAACCTCTCTAAGGTATGCCTTCTTGGAGGACTTTTCTAAGGTAACTGGCTCATATTCACTTTACACACAGGGAAAACCAAACAAGCACCCAACTCATTCATCTGAGTTTGAACCCTGGACAAACTACAAGTATTCATTAATCTTTAGCTGCTCAGCTTCTAGTGAAGCCATACCATATCTAAGATACACTTTCATACATGCAAATAAATAACTTCATTACAAAAGCAGTCCTCAAAACGTTGTTATAAGATTTGAAATGAATTGTGTGAAAGTCATTTTAATGCACAGAAATTGCATAATACAGCTGCAAGAAGTGGTTTGATAACTGAGTACAAGATTAATGAGAATTAAAATTTAGCCAAAGTGAAATAAAACTAATTAGATGATTCAACATGAGACACTGTGTTTCACAAACCCTGAACCAGTACTTAACCTTCAAACAATAAACCAGCTTGCAATGAAGAAAGAGTAAGAATTACATGAAGAAAAAAAGGTATCTTAAATTATTTATGTAGTGAAACCTGTAGATATTACAAACTAGTTTAGTTTATGTAATTAAAAATGACAATGTAACATGAGAGCTATTTGCGAAATTGAGAGGATGTATATGTGGAGGACGTTCCAAGAAAAACTGGTTTGTATTTATGGTACATGTGTGAAAAGCCATGGAAAAACTATACAGCTAGCCTGTTTGCTGGTATTCACTCTATCAGGGTGCAGTTACTGGTGGGCCTTTGAAGTAGCTAAGATTTACTCCTTATGCAGTTGCAGGCCTATCGGTATCAAGTTTTCCCAATGCACAGGAAACTTAATAAAGATCTTTATCAGATATCTACAGCATTTCTACCTCTCAATCCCTTGCAAACAAATGACTGGTTGAATGGGCAACTTGAACTAAAAGGTGGTCGAAATCTAGTGTTTATAAATATGTTCGCATTGCTTAATAGTTTTTTTTTCAATGGCAGATTGTGAACAGTCACAGTTTTTGTAACAGAGTCCATTAATCTATACTAAGACCAGATGTGGTGGTCTCTTTATTATGGAGACACCTAATAGGTGACCCACCATTGCCTGCTATGAAGGGATGGACAGTTACAACTATGCCTTCTCCAGGATTCAAACCCAGGCTCTTCTGTATTGCAGTCAGGCTCCCCTAACCACTATACCATCTTGGTGACGCATTGCTTAATAGTGCCTTTATGAAATGGGTATATATAAAAATCTGATTATTCGAAAGTCCTCTCAAAACAATGGCATAGTCCGTTATTTTAAAGTAGGAATTCCAGTTCATTTTCTCCTGCCTGGCTTGCCTAGTAATGATAGCTGCAGCAGACAATTTGTTTCATTAATTTTCCCCCTACTTCATTTTCATTTAACCTATTTAGCTTCCTTAAAAGTGCATGAATGAAAGCTGACTTGAACTATAAGTCTCAAATGAAGTGAAGAAAATAAGTTCTGTGCAGTAATGATCAAATGTATTACAGTCACAAATGAGGATGGCTGCCAATATCCTTGAAGTGCCTATTTTAAAATAGACTATAGTAGAAAGAGAGGGTTCTCGGATTTCATTCTTCAGGATTTTTCATCAAAACCGAAATAGAAATTTTTGTAAAATCATTGTGCTACCCACAGGTGCCCCAGGCATTTGGCCAATAATTGCACTTATGCACCTATGTTTGCTCATGAGGCAATTCAACTGGACATAAATTCTGACACACAGACAGAGCTATGCATGCTTCATACAAAAAAGAAAACAATAAATATAAAGCATGAATACAGTGTAAACCAGAATGAAATCCTGGAAGCTCACATCTGCCTCCATGCAAGAGCTGTTCCCCCCCTCCGCCTTTCCCCAGCAAAGCATTCAACATGTATTTGTTTATGGAACAGATGACAATATGTAAGATTTTCTAAGGGAAGATGGGATTTATTTACATTGCATCTTATACAAGACCCCCCCCCAAAAAAGAAAAGAAATATGCAGTCAGCATGCTTAACCAACAGCAGTTAAATGCAAATAAATTATTATTATTCTATGCCCTTAGCCACCTCTAGTGGACCTGCAAATGCAGTAAAGGTCATTTCTCTTAGAAGACACTAACGCTCCCTCCATAAAATTAGGATGGTAGAGCAATAACCTCATTGTTACTCTACCATTCCCCTATCCTAACAAGACTAATCATCTAGATATCTTGAACTTAGTCCCGTTGAGTAAACCAAATGTAAAAGAATATCTATAATATTTTACATACTAAAGATTTCCATTACATTTTGTTTTAATGTATCAGTATTACTCTTACTATTACAATTTTTCTTCTGTTTCTCAATCCATGATTTTGTCTTTGTTGTTTATACTTTTTACTTTCTATTAAATCCTCTCTGCATCATTATTTTATTCAGATAATTTATCATTGTAGTTTTTGTGCATGTTTGTTTCTTCATGGAAACATTTAGCATTATTTCATTTATAAGATTCACACTTAATTATATTAATGAAATTGAAGGCAGTAATTTGTTGGCAGAAAATTGAGTGTTAACTAAGCAATACTTAGTTAATCAATAGTAATTCATTGGCACAGCATCTGATCAGCATTTCAAAAGTTCCTGGCTTGCTTATGAAAGCAGCATTTTCAGTTCTCAATAATAAATTACAGCAAAAAAAGAACATTTCTGCTACAGTGAACAATAATAACTATCTTACATGCAAAACCGATTAGCTATCAGTGGCAATTTTAAACTGAAACAAATCCATTGAACATCAATTGTATATATGTGGGAGTGTCAAGGACATTTAATCTATCTTAACATTACATTAAAAACGTTATATTAATTCATGAAGATAGAGCACTGATGTGATAGGTAAATCACCAGTGAAAGGTATGCATTGTTTAAACTGGGGAAAAGAAAAAAAAAGTGTGCAACATTAAACTTGTTTTTATTATTTAAAAGCAACTAAATACATTTCCATATGTTAAATGCTGCATTGGTTCCTAGGGACTGGCCTAAGACCAAGCAAAATAGGCTTGCTCTTTAGTTTGTTAAAAAAATATTCCATCCGCTTAAGGCAGTCCTCTATAAAGCAATGTTTTACAAATAATAACACATTATAAAATTTTGGAAGGAAAAGAGTTTTTATCCAAAATATAATAAAAAGGACAATGTTATTTTATATGCACATCATGAGCACATAGCATAATATAGGAGGTGAATGGGAATGGGGTAAATATAAAAGATCTGCTTGAAGAGTTGGAGAGAGTTGCCCTATTTAAAAATTAATGCCAGTTTGCATGGATTTAGAGTACATATCACAAAAATCATAACAAAGTAATACATTTGTATTACAGAGGAAACAAATCCAATAAAAAAACAGTATCTGTTCAGTAACATTGTTTAACAGTAAACAAGTAAAGTTATTAAAAGTAAGTAATGTTATCAAGAAACAGTAAACATTCTTAACTAGAAAGCTATTAGTAAGCTTGGAATGGAAAATAGAGAAGTTCAATCAGACAAAAGTATTACCTGTTCACTAATGATATCTACCCTTTTCATCAGCTTCATAGAATTATGAAGTTCTAATTTGGTGTCTTCAATCTCATATTGAATACTAAGTAGGAAAATTCAAAGATAAATTTATATTATGATAAAATACTTATTTAAAAGTTTAGAAGAAAAATTATACAAGTTTAATATTTAAATACAGTTTTGTTAATGTAGAGGATCCATCTAAATGCATGTCTATGAAAGAAATCAAAATTGAATATTAGTAAGTTCTCAAAACATGCAGTCTTAAATCTTAAAATTGCATATGCAGATAATAAATACATTTCACACCCATGAAATTATATTCATGGCCATGTTTATTACCTATTTAAGTTCTCCTTCAAGACTTTATTTTCTTCAACCAGCTTTTTGTGTTCATCATCAGCATCTGATAGCATATTTTGAAGACCAGTATTTTGATCTCTTAGCATTGCTATAATATGTTCAAGATGCTTAATTTCAGACATCAGTGTTTTGGTATTTCTAGAAATAAAATTGTGTAATTGAAAAAGAAATGCATCAAAATGAGAGAGAGCTGCAGATATATAAAAAGAGCATCAATGCAAAAATATCCAACTTCTTACTTATTTCAGAAACCTCTGAGTTTTAAAGCAATTAAGGTATCTCAAGATATGATAAATAAATTTTAATATCAAGCATCAGGATTTTAAAGTGAATAAAACTAAAGCTTCATAATGACTTTGGGAATAACACTGGGGAGGAAAATTTTAAAGACCCTGAACATTGCTGTTTCCAAAAACCCATTTCACTGCGTCAAAAGCTCCAGTATTGCTGGTTTCATCATTTTTTCTAACTTTTACATCAGTGTTGGCATTTTCAAAACATGGATTTGAACCTTGTCTACCTCTCATTTTAAGTTAGTGACGCCTAATGTACCCTAAGCCACATGTTAATTTGCACTAATAAATAAACTTTGTCTTTTACAAAGGCACCTGATAGGTTTCAATTCTTGAGAAAGTCCTAACATATATTTTCAGTTTCGGGGTTTTTAGATTATTATTAATAGTGTAGGGTTTTACCCTCCCCCACGCACATTTCTTAGCTATTTTAAAATTGCATTTAGAAGACAGAACAGTGTATTGTATATTTCCTAAAAAGCAAATGCAAACAATCTACTATCTTTATTTAAAAAGAAAGTAATATTGATCAAATGCACAACTGCTGAGAGCAACCTAGGAAAATAAGAGGACAAACTTGCACTGATAACTCCACTGGCAGTTGAGAAGGTGGAAATGTAAGACACAAATAATACACCTGATGATGTGAGGAATGGCAGAAAAAAGCAAATGAACTAAAAAATTCACCACAATTTGTTTCTTGTTTTACACACAAACAAAATTTTCTATTTCATTTTCACATATTATTTGCATGAAACTTTACAAATGTCCAGTAAAGTAATTATACAGAACCTATCTCATGAATACTGAATTTGCACTGTAATTTTTAATGGAAATCTTTTTTGTGTAGTTTTATTTGACAATATGATTTGCATCATTAATTAAAACAATATGTTAACATTCATTATTTTTTTGAAAGAAACCTCTATTTTAAATACAGTAACAAAACAAACATACTTTATTGTGAAACATGGTCTAACTTAAATTATGTTTCTCTTTTATAGTTACTTTTATTTCTTTGAATTCATCATGTCCATTAATTTGCCTTAAGGTTTAAAAATAACAGAAACTGATGTTTAAAATAGCAATGAATAGTTGAGTTTGCAATCAATGAATAGTTAAGTATAAGATTTAAGAACAACTATTGAGAATGAATAGGATACTAATCAACATTCTCCTTAGAATTTTTATTACAAACTTATTCTTTAAAATCAAATTTAATTCTAAACATAAACAGTGCTACCAATTGCATCAAGAAAATTACTTAGTTACACTTGTTGCCAGATTTGCTTTGATTTAGCATACACAAGCTGTGACATGATAGCAGATTATTGGACTATCAAAATTTAGATTTATAAATACTTCATACATTTTGAGCAACCAACCAAACTCAGCATGTTTTCAAATTTCATTTTATTTCATTTCATAGACAATACAATAATTAGATCAAAATTTTTATTGTTTTTATTTATCGGTACGCTAAACTAAAATACTTCAAAAAATTAATTTCTTGAGAATTTTTAAAATTGCAATGACAGTTTATGGACATTTTGCATAACTATCATTGTTATTTAAAGTATTAATTATTTTCTTGGTTCAACTTATTTATTAGCTTCTTAATACTAGTAATTTAACCAGTTAATGAAATACAGCATTTATTTATCTCTATCACAAATAATGAACAGCAATGCATGTAACCAATAAAATGCTTAAAAGGGAGAGAAAAACTGATTTCTCCTTTTGATCAGTTTTGTTTTAACAAATGTGCACATTTTAACTTAAAAGAAAACAGCTATATCTTTAGTAATATAACTAAATGAAAAAAATATTTATATGTTTAAAAAAATGTTAAAATTACAAAAATGTTCCTCAGTAACATATAAAAATTAAAATCATATAAACAAGTATCATGATAGAAAATGTCCCAGGTAAGTTTCTGAACAATAAATAATGAAAAATTAAAATGTTCACATACTGTGCTTCATCTCTAAATCCATCAATGCTTTCATTTGTATTTAAACTAGTGGCATCTGAGGGACCAGCAAAGCCTAAAAGAAAATCTTAATATAAGTAATGAATAGTTTGTTAATAATGGTTACAAAATTTCACTACATTTCCAAAAGAAAATAACTGATTCTTGTACCAAACTTTTCACGGCCAACAAAAGCCTTACGTGTTCTCTACCTACCAGCTCATATATGAGTCATGTGGTTTTCTCAAACAGACCAAAGACTTGTATGTGGGACAGTGGTAGAGGCATAGCCCCTTTATAGTGCAAGTCCATTGCAACTTCACTCCTATTAAGTAGTATATGAGAAGCTATTACTAATATTTGTGACATATAGTCTCAGGTTATGACTTGTTTAAATAATATTACAATTAATATATAATATTAAAATTGTTAAAATATTGAAAACATTTTTAACTAAGAAAACCCTAAATTCTCATACTGAAATAAGTATTGGTATGATTATACAGAAATACATTATCAGTCTGAGGAAGATGGTGCCCTTTTACATGTCGATAGCACATATGTTAAATTACAGCAGTACGTCTGTATATTTTTAAATGAGCAAGTGTTCTAAGATTTAAGTTTCTTATTTTAAAGGTCATTTGCTGCATTTAAATCATACCTTGTTAAATAAAAATACAGTTAAACTTTGCTATAGCAAATTTCATATTTAACAAAGCCCTGGACACAATGAATGAATGTTTTAGTAATGTCCAGTTTTCTACATAATTAATGTTATTTAATGCAGTCGTACTAAACCTATAGTTGTATGGAAATCAAATATAAATAACTTTATGATATTATCAATCATAACTTTTTTTGCATTTTCATAATTTTCCAGAATTTTGGTAAGCTTTAACTAAAAAAGTACAAACCTTTAAAATAATCTGTGGTTAGAAAAAAGACAATGGAAACCACCTTCAAATTACTGTTTTTTACTCTCACTCCCACTTTCTGTTTTCTAATCAAAGACTATATGAGTCAGGTATAACACACAATTCTTGAAGAACCAGGGCACATAATAACTACATCTTAGGGCACCATATGATGTACAGGGTTATCCAAATTAAACTTCCCCAACTCAGAGGCCTGTGCAGAGTGTTGTATGGGTCATAATGTGATGAAATTTTAAAAACAGATACTTGAGATCATGCGCTCGAGATTTATTAAACAAGAAAAATTAGTACAACAAGTTGCCGATAGGTGGCATTGCAGATCAACAAGACATTCTACAGATGTTCTATATGTGTGCCGTGGTTCTCCACAACTCTTTCCATTCGCAAAGCAGTGTGTTCCACAGCGGAACGCAGCAAGTCCACATTAATTCCATGAACATGTTGAATAATTGCGTCTTTCAGGATGTGCCAAGGTTGCTGGGTGTTCTCGGTAGACCCGATCCTTTAAGAATCCCCATAACCAAAAGTCGCATGGCGTGAGATCAGGCGAGCAGGGAGGCCAAGCTGTAGGGAAACAGCGGCTGATCACACGTGCATTGGTAAAAGTTGCCCATAACACCTGTTGAACGCCACGAAGAATATGGGTAGGTGCACCATCCTGCATAAATATCGTGTCCTGGAGGCGGCCACGTTGTTGCAGTTCAGGGATCAAAAACATTGTCAACATGTCCTGATACAGTTTTCCTGTCACAGAGCAGGTTTTGAACCCTGTTGGAGTCACCTCTTCAAAAAAATAAGACCCAATGACGAATGTTGCAGTGAAACCGCACGATACAGTAACCTTTGGAGGGTTAATGGGCCCTTCAAGGCAATCCGATGGATTGCCCGTGGGTTTTCACTTGCCCATATGCAACAGTTGTGCGTATTCACTTGACTATTCAGGTGAAAATGGGCCTCATCCGTTCAAAGGATGTTCCACGGCCAAGCAGCATCGACTTCCATTCTGGCAAGGAACTGCAACACAAATGTTTCCCGAACTACAGGATCCCCATCGGACAGCTGATGATGACTATGGATTTTGTAAGGAAAATAACCGAGGATTCGATGCATCATACGCCAGATGGCATATCAACAGCACGAGAAACAGTTGGCACACTGACACCATGTGGCGATTGGCTAGTGGGGTCCACGACCACCAAAGCAACGTCTTCTACGCGTGCAGATTCCACAACCTGTCGTCCTCTACCTGGTAAAATTTCCAGCTGTCCCGTTCTTTTGAACTTCTTCATCATGTCTCGTAGAGCACGTGGTGTCATTGGTCTCGGCGTAAGATCTTCAGCTGACGGAATGCTCTTATCGCAGCATAGGAGTTCTCGTCATTCTGGTAGAAAAGTTTCACTAACAGAGCTTTGTCTTTCAAAGTCGTCATTGTGCATCAGCAAGCTGGAAACAACTGCCTGTGCAAGGCCTGTCTTCCACTTTTGTAGGGCTCATCTTCTGGATACGTTGCGCAGAAGCTTTATTTCTGCAAATCACGTTGCTGCAATATGCACATTACTAGTGTTACAGCGCCAACTATCGGCAACTTCTTGTACTAATTTTTTTGTGTAATAAATCTCGAGCGCATGATCTGAAGTGTCTGTTTTTAAAATTTCATCACATTATGACCCATACAACACTCTGCACAGGCCTCTGAGTTTGGGAAGTTTAATTTGGATAATTCTGTACATGACAACTGAGACAATAAACTTGAATGGGTTCTCTAATTCCCTTCAAGTTTTGTAACTGGTCAGACAGAGCTCTGTTCAAAGCTTAAGAAACAATGGAAATTTTTCACAACTAAAAAATGAGTAAGTAGTGAATAAATTCTTATGAGCTTTGCTCTATACATGTAATTCACCTATTAGGTATGGAAATTTTTTATCCTTACCAGTTTGTTTTATTTCTGTTCTAGAAACACTTTTCAGCTTCTCTCTTTTGAATGGGAGGGTTTTGCATTCCTTAAATCTTTTCCAAGATTTGTGATATTCTTTATAAAAGCTACTGCACCTCTGCTATGCAACAATAAATATTTTGGGGGAAATGAATGTGTTCTTAGTAGACATTGAATAAGGCAGATTAGTAATAAAATAATCTTTTTTAAAAAAAATCTTTCCCAGAAGGACAAAACTTCACAAATTCATAGACTGAACTCTTTTAATTCGGTATTGGTGAAACTTTTATAGTCAAAAATTCATCAGCACGGCATAAAGAGTTGTAAACAAAATGCATCCTGCACTGAAGATAAGGTGGGCATTATTTGAAAACTATATGATGGATGTAGCAAAACTGATAACTGCTGGAAATACATTTTATTTGAATCTGTAACTGGTACTATAGGGAAAAGTCAAGACTTGATAACTTTTACTCATTGAAAAATTTGATTAGTTTTTGGAGTGGTGGATTAGGAAAAAATAATGAAGATAATGATAATGAGGATTTGCCCATTGTTAAGTGGCCAGGGTGAAAGAATGGTATTTCTATATTCTCAAAATGTGACATACAGATTTTTCAAACATGTGAAGATGATGTTACAGCTCGTTTATCTTAACATTTATATATAAATATTTTTTGGGGGAGACACAGTATTTGCTACAACCAAAGTGCAAAACTGGCCAAGTCTGGCATTTAAAGCTGATATACAATTTACCATTACTTCGGAATCTGGCTGGCCAATTTTAGATTTGGATAAGAAAAACTGGTGAAAGTTAGAAATTACCTTTCCTTTGGTTATAACGATCTTTAATGACGTTAATATTCATAGTGTTTGAAAAACATATTTACTATTTGGTGGAATAAGTCGTAAAAAGTTATATTCTACCATTAATATATAATTAGAAATCTCTTAGATTTCCTTATAATATAAGAATCAAAAAGGCCACTTCTTTCTTCCGAGTTCAGAAAAAAATGGACAAAGTCGGCAATAAAATATTGTAGTTACCAACAAAGAATGTGAGAAAACTCGCACCGCAATCAAATTTATGATATGAGAATGCAGAAATCATTTCTAATGGTGAACCCTTCCAATTTCTCAAAATCAGTTTTAAGTAGAAAAGTATTGCGTTGTTAGGTTCACAGACATCTGGGAAGGTATCTTTCAATGCTTTAACAACTTTTTCATAAGAAAGTTATGAAGTGATGCTCAGTCATAAAAACTTTTCCACTTGGAGGGGAAAACTCATCTCTGCACCAAGCAGAAAGTTTTTAAAGCTAACACAGGGTTTGTACATATTTTTTGTACATGGAAATTAAGTACTTTTAAGAACCATCAACGAAAAGAATTAAAGATTTATCAGCAAATGGAATAAATTACTTATATACAATTGACTTCTTTCTTGTAACATCATTTTAAGAATAAAACAAAAGTACACACAGAATGCATTATTAGTAAATATAGTCCAACATTTAACATTACTGTAAAAATAATTCGAAAATAAAATCAATTTCCTAAAAATTATTAAGGAAATAGTTGTAAATTAGAAAATTTCCTGAAACATTTATATTTTATGCTTATGATAGCCACATATTTTAAATATGATTTACATAGTCACTATTAAAATATTCTTAGTTTTTTTTAATGTGCATTAAAATTATTATACTAAAAATGACAATCTAAAGAAATTTTACAATTTAAAATAACAGATACATATAATTTATTACACTAATTTAAATGGCTATCAAAACAATTATACATTAAAAACTAGAAAAGATACATAACAACAAAATACTTATGTATTTTGCTAACATTAAATTTTTATGAATATTTTAACTAATTTTTATTTACTCTATTCCCTTTAGCATCTTTTTGAAGTTGTTTTACTTTAAAAAACAAATCAATATTTTGCAAGCATTTACTTCACCTGCTAATTTCTTAATATTTTTAACACTATTCCACTATCCCATTCTTTCTCTTTACATAATCAATTTCTTCTGCAGTTAGTTTCTCTTCATCTTTGAATTTTGACTTAAAGATTCTTGTAGTTCTAAAAAATTGCATGTATTTAGGAAGTGCAGAAGAAACTGATAATTGTATTTCTTTAGTAATATCAATAATGAGCATACATCTAAAAAAACTTTCATGAAATGATATGTGGTGCACTGA